CCTGGAAGGCCACGCGGCGGCTGTGGAGGACGCGCTCAGCTCGCCGGGCGGCGCGGGGTGAGTGTGGGCGCGGCCGGCCCGGGGACCTGTTACCCAGCGGCCGGGCGCCTGGCGGCGTCCTCGTGGAAGGGTGGGGGTGGGGGAATCCCCTGGACCCAAAGACTGGCAGCGCCGCTTGGATGCCTGCAGAGCCCTCGCCTAGGCGATCCCCAAGCCCGGGCAGGGACACCTCGGCCAGGAGCCCGGGCTGTCCCGGCACAGGCCGCCCTTCCCCCCGCCCATCTGTCTGTCTGGCTTTGCACCAGGGCGAATCCAGGGTGACCCCGGGACGAGGTGACAGGCTTCCTCGGGTTCGCAGCCCTGGCGTAGTACTCTCACATCCAGGCCAGCGCCTGCAATGCAGCACCTTGGGTGGAATTAATCACAACCCCCACCCCCCCATTCCTCTTTGCAACCTGTTTGTGGAGACTTCAGGGCATCCTCTGAGCTCCAACCACCGGAAACTCTCCCACGCCACACCTACCCTGTCCTCACAAGAACTCACATCCACCCATCCATCCATCCATCCAGCCATCCATCCATCCATCCATTCCGTAATTTGTAAGGAGCCCCTGTTGCTACCAAGGCCTGAAGGGACTAGGTGGGTAAGACCCCTAGAGAGGGAGGCATTACAGTCCCAAAAGAGACCCATCTCTCTTTAGAGGAATACTGGGAAAGGAAGAGTTCGGAAGGCCTCGCTAAGGCAATATTAATTAGCAAGACTTAATTTTAACTTAGGTAACCTGTTTAATTGCATGTAGAAACCGAGAAAGAAAAAAGCTACTAAAATAGAAAGCAATTTTTCTTTGTGCCTAAAGAAAAATAAATAAATAAAAATCAAGACAGGGAGGAGAAGAAAGAGAAAGAAGGGAAGAAGGAGGAGGAAGAAGAAGAAGAAGAGGAGGAGGAGGAAGAACTACCTGAGCACCTCCAACATGCAGCTGGGGAATGCTTCCTGCTCAAGGGGAAAACATGTGGAATGGTTCCCCTAAGCTGAGCAAGGGGAAAGTGAGAGGTCCTGGGTGTGGATCATGACCTGCTCGGGCTAGGTAGCTGCTAATGGAGGATATGACACTGTCTGACAGCAATGGCTTGCCCTCATTTCTCAGCCTGTTCATTTCCTACCCATTTGCTGAAAGTAGTGCAAATGCCAGCTCTCCCCTGAAGCCTTTCTGGTATTCCTGCTACCTGTAAACTTTCCTTTAGTACTTCACCTGTAGGGTATTTGTACGTGTCACTATTCGTTTGCTATTATAGATTTCATTGACACATTCACTTCATCATTCTAAAGTGCAGGGTTTGTACTTTGCAGACACCTCCATGTGTCTGTCTTGTCTTTCCTTCTGTTTGTCTTTCTAGGATCCTTCCTCTGAGAGGATGACAGGTCTTTATTTCTAAAATGGCTGATCTGAATCAGGGCCAAAGCTAGGTTACATCAGGGCCAGTCTCTATTGCTTGAGGAATAAATAAATTAAGGAATTAAAAGAACT